CCCCCCCGAACTGTCCTTATCCTATTCTCAATGCCAAACTTTTTCCTCTGTTTCTAATGGGTAGGGTCCATATTTTCTGCTTCTTTGTTTCAGAACCTTACACCACAGAAGTCCATGACCTCCAGCAAAAACTCAAATTCAGTCCCTGTTGGCAATTTCAGGTACCACCCTGAAATGGTAAAAAGAGATAGGAATAACCATTTGTCCTAAAAACACCCATGCAGTTTGCTCTGTGTTTATTCATTTCTCAACATCATACCTGGAGGGGCCACGGACTGCATGGGAAGATAGTGTACTGTGACTTATAACAATGGTCCTTCTGGTTTATAGATGAGGCATATGAGCATGGCAGTGTGGCAAAGCTTGTGAAATGGCTGCCTGAGCTGCAGATACCTGCAATATTAACACTGGAAGGTTACTACTGCAGTACTCATCACAGGGAAGAGAAGATACAGACTGAAACACATATACAAGGACCATTAATCTGAGCCCCTAACAGAAGATCTTACAGGCTGGATTTGATAGCAGAATTTGCACAGCACACAGTTACCAAAATTCCAACTTTCTGCCCATCACCTAGCTCTGGAGAGTCTAATGCCAGGTGGTGATGCTGTTTCCATTTCCACTAGGCTCCTGTCAATAGTTATGTTCCTGCATGCAATGATAATGAATCCAAATGCTAATATCCTTTCATTTCAGTATGCAGGGAGATGGTATGCCTTAGCTAAGAAGGACCCAGAAGGTCTCTTCCTGCAGGACAACATCTCTGCTGAATACACTATTGAAGAAGATGGCACAATGACTGCAGCTTCCAAAGGGAGAGTGAAACTCTTTGGGTAAGTGTGTAACTCACCTTTTACTTCAGCTGCCAATAGAACATGCTTTGTGCATGCCATTTCCAGTTGTCTAATCTAGGCATGTGCATAATACAATTGCTTCCTTCAAGAAGGTAAGTGTCATAAAGTTAATGCATTCGAAGCAGAAGATTTGAGATATTAAGCCCAAATTCTATTCTACCTATTGGGCACGTGGATGAACTTGGTACCCAAGTTAAAATTCCCTGTTCAAATTCTGAAAATCTATTAATGTCTCCTTTTGTAACACACTATTGTTTGACCTTTAATACTGAGTCACAAAAAAGCAGTGAGGAGGACCCACCTCTCTTTTGCATGAAGAACCTTGAGCAAGATGAAATAGAATTCACTATATCCACTTATGTGCCCTAATAGCCAGAATAGATTCTGCCCCTGAGAGTCCTGACTTAACACTTATGGAGTTCATGCTCAGCCTGGACCCTGTTGGAGCCTATCACAAATTGACCATGTAACTGATAATCTTTGTTCAGAGGCACGGGGCTTAGGATGTCATTAAATGGTAATAAGTGAATAGGACCAGGTGGAGCGTCTGAGTTAGATACTGAGTCTGAAACTAGATAACAAAATTAACTGAGGTATTAACAACAAAGATTTATCTTTTGCAGGGGGTTGACAGCATTATACTCATTTATGCAAAATAAGATCTCAGGAACTGAGCCTGAGACTTAACTTCTATACAGAGAAACATGGTGAAGAAAATAAACCAATGTGGAAATTTAAACAGTACTTCTAACAAGTTACATTTTCTTGACAGTTTTGGTTGAATGAGCAAATACTGTATTTACTTGATTCTAAGACAAAGTATTTTTTCCCATTTAACATGGAAGAAAACCCCCTCATCTTTAGAATTTAGTGTGAGGGTGGTTGGTGGGGGGAGGGCAGGCAGCAGCTGCGGCTCAGGCTCCAGCCCCTACCAGAGGCATGGGCCATAGCCGCAGCTACTGCCTGTCTCTTTCCTCCCCGCTTCCCCCCTGCCACTTCTGCACCTTGCCATTTCCCCCATGCAGCCTCTTTCTCCATTTCCACCCCCTTCCCATGCAGTTTCTGTTCCCCCACTTGCCCCTCTCCCTCCCGTCCTTTATCTTTGCTCTTTGCCTATGCCAGCAGGCTTTGTCCATGTTATAGCCTGGGGTGCTGAGCACAAGCCCAGCCCCAGCCCAGCCCCATAGCAGTGTTGTGCAGCTCACACAATGCCCTAGGTAGAACAGGGACAGAGCCTGCCAGCACAAAGGAAGGGGAAGTGTGCAGGGGGGAAGGAAGTGGGGAGCAGAGGCTGGGAGGAGGAGGGTGGGGGGAAGTAGAGGTTGGAGGAAAGGCAGGCAAGGGGCAGAGGTAACCAGGGGAAGGTAGAAGTTGGGGGCAAGTTGCCTTACCTCCCAGTACCACCTGCCCCACCACTGCCTGCCCCCTGCAGCAGTGCGGGGGAGGGGGGTGAATTAAAGACAGCGCTCCAATAATTAGATTCTAGAAATGGAAAATTATAATTAATTTATCAATTTTCCATGTATAGAATCTAATAGTTGAGGGAGTTGTCTTAAGTTCAGGGTCATCTAGGCTTGGAGTAAATATAGTAAGTGAATCTTCCAACCTGAACTTTTTTGTCTTTCACTTCATCAGATGCTGTGAAAGGATATATTTAGTTAATCTATAAGGCATGAATCAGCCTTTTCTCAGTAAGGAAAGAGACCTCCAAAAGTTCAACATGGGTTTCACTGCTTTTTGGTATTTGTGGTACACCTGGCAAACACAAATCTAAGGATTGTTAAGATAGACGCATCCTAGGAGAGTAGAGTCAAAGCCAGGTGAAGTTCAACAGGCATGTTATATAATGCATGTGTGAAGAAATAAATTCACTGATTTATTTATGAGTTTTGGGTGGCCTCTCAAGAATACCTGGAAAATCTCAGGCTGCTGCCCTGGATACATCTTTTCAGTGTGAGTAAGGGTAAAAGACAAATTACAAAATCAGTCTGTAAACCTGAAAAGGATGGATAATATGGAGAACACTGTCAGCCAATGGAACATTCGAACATCTGAGAAGCGATGTCCAAATACATAAACAGTATCTGAAGTGCATAACAGAAGAAAACAAGTTTTTAAAAAAGGATATATGAATTATAAGCACTAATTGGGGAAGATGTGTCAGAGAGAATTATAAGGCTAAGTATATGGGCAATGAACTAGTTACCATGCAGTAAAAGGGGATGGAGACTTACTGCACGTCAGTTTGCTCTGCTGTAACCCTGTACAGGCAGCATAATGTGGCTTTTACTTGATAACAAAGTTATTTTATAGTAGCATGGTGGTCTTGCCCAATGTGCTCATGATTAATGTACAGTCCAGAGTGTACAGGCATGACGTGCTCTGAGCTAGCTGAGGGCTGCTTTTGATGTGTGCATTGAAACTGCAGATTGTCACCCTCAGTATCTTGGCTCTTGTTTCAGATTCTGGGTGATATGTGCTGACATGGCTGCTCAGTACACTGCCCCAGCCCCCGCCATACCAGGCAAGATGTATATGACTTACCAAGGTCTGGCTAGCTACCTGTCCAGCGGAGGTGAGTGGGCTGGTTTGTAGCTTGTGGCTATTCAGGCCCATGAATTTCTTTGGATAAAGTGCCAAGCCAGTTGTGCTCCTCTAGGACATGACCACTCAGAATTGAGTGCTCCAGAGCTGGGAACAAAATGTTCTCACTGAGGGGCTGGGGCTTGGAGCAAAATTAAGGAGAGGAGGGAGCTCCAGATTGTGATCTTCAGAAGATACTGCAAAACATTGCTCTCAAGGCTTCCCCCTAACAAGTAGACCACGGAAGCCTGTTCCAAACAGGTCTTTTGATTAGGACAAAAGCCAGAAATTTTCCTAGGGACCTAGCTATTATGAGTCCTTTGTTTATAGAAATTGTGTTTTAGAGGCAGGTGACAGCACAAGATGAATGGAGATGAATGCACTACTTGCCTTATATGAACTTGGGGAAGCAGTCCTTTCTTAATTCTGGGGGGTAACTTCTCATGTCAGCATTTGCAGAGCCTGCTTACTTGACCCAAGTGATGGGATCAGGCACTTAAACCCAAATCCTCAAACCAGCTGCTAGCCTAGAAGACCATGTGGATGGACACTACTGGTTCTAACTGAGCTGCCCTCCGTGCTGCAGCCCAGATTCCCTGAATTCTTTTGCTGCACAGAATAGATACACCTCCTAATCCTATTCATGTCCTTTCCATATTTATTTTGTAGCCAGTGGCCTCTGTAGCTATGGAGAATGGGCAGCATGTTCCCCTTAGTAAGGAATAAAGAAATACATTTCTAGTGAATTGGTAATTTATTAGTATGTACCTGATTAAAGAACACTGCTTGGAAAACAGGCACAACATCATATAACATCTATATACATAAAAAGGATGCAACTTTAACGTAGCTGTTAGACTACATGTAGTATTTTCCCAGATATGTGCCATTGTAGAAGTTTGTAAAGAGATTTTGTCATTGAAGGCCAGATGGGAGTTAGTCTGTGTGAAGAAATCCCCATCTCTCTGTCCCTCCCATGGGTCATTCCAGCTGGACCCCTCTCTCCCTCTCTCTTGCTTTCTATTTGGTTCAGGCTGGTCAACCAGGTGACCAAGCCAGAAAAATTCCTGAGGGGAAGGAGGAATGCTCTCTTCCTCCAGTAGGCATTTTGAAAAGCCACAGGCAAAGTGCCTCCAGGCTGCTGCCTGGATGAACTCCTGTAAGTAAAAATTTGGAAACTAGCCAGGTGTTAGGATTTATGTATAGGCAGATGTGTTTTAAAAGGATTCTTATGCCCAAGACTGTACAGGCAACCCCCACTTAATGCTGTTTCACTTAGCGCTATTTCGCTATAACGCTCATTTGAAATTGATACCTGGTTTCACTTAGCACTCAGCAAGTTTCGTTATAACGCTCACAGTCACCATCTTGGGTCATTAAAAACAATTGCAATTGCCATCTTCTGTCATCAAATACTTCAGTTTCCCTTAACACTCATTTTGCTTAATGCTCGGTTTTTCAGGAACCCATTAAAGCACTAAGCAGGGGTTGCCTGTATAAGACTCTGATTGATTATGTTTGCTTAAAGCATCCTCTGACTTCCTTGTTCTCCCCCTCCACCTCGATCAAAAATGGTATTGGGTTACAGCATGCCTTACTGTGGTACTGTGGAGGGGTGAGAGGCAAGCTTTTTTGCTCCCAGCTTGGCCAGCAGAGCTTGTCTGTTTATATTTCCTCAGTCCTATCTGAGGTTATCTTGGGATGCTTCAAGCTGAAAAAGGTACCCAGAAATATTATCTGTGAGGCACTGGCAATGCATAGGGGGTGCATGCGGGTGCACGTGCACACCCTGAGATTGGCCCCGCCCCCCAAGATTGGCCACCGCTGCCAGCAGTGTCTGTGGGCAGTCGCTGCTTGCCACCTCCCCCTGCCACTGCTGCTGCCAGTGGCGTCTGCAGGCGGTCGCTGATCACTACTCAGCACTCCCCCCCCACCACCACTGCCACTGCCATGGCTGCCTGCGAGTGGTCCCCACTTGGCCTGCCCTCATTGCCGATGTCACCATGGTCACCTGTGGGCAGTCCCTGCTTGCCGCCAACACCACCGCCACTGCCTGCAAGCAGTCACCATGCCCCCCCAGCCTCAGGAGGCACAAGGCATTCATGCCTGTGGGTAAAGCACCCCCAAAGCTTGCAGAGTCTGTGCGCCTTGGGCTGCACAGAGCCCTAACAGAGGCCAGTGCCTGGGTGGTGGCAGCGTTACCCCAGGCTTGCGGGTGTTCTCCAGGAAGCGGGATAGCTGGCTGTAGGCACCCCATGGGAGACTCCCAAAGCAAGGTTTCTGAGCCTGGCACAGTGAGGCAGGTGGCCCTGCATAGTAATCCCCCCTACTGTGCATGCCACAGTCTGGTCTTTGGCATAGCTGGAGCATCACAAGAAACACAGGGAGAAATGCACTGAGCTCACCTCATGAGTGGACTAAAGCATATCTTATTGGGCACATCTTTCTTGTTGGGCGTGTCCTGTGAGGTACTAAATTAATGCTTATTAGGCTGCACTAATGTGCAGTAGCGCATTTGCATGCTTTTTTAATGATGCTTAATTTGCAGTAGACTATTTACTGCTCATTAGTGTAATGTCACCATTTTTTAATGTGCTGCTTTAAAGCACAGTAAAATAGTTTACTGTGCATTAAAGCACACATGTAGATGTGCTTGTTGAAAGATGTGCTTGTTGAAAGTCTTGAGGTCAGGTCTTTAAGAGCCAGAGAACTTTCCATCCTCTGGGAAGCTGCTCTCACCATAGATATTTTTGAGGGGTAAAACCTTTGTCTGTAAGAAGAGAGCTTTGCTCAGTGTAAGAATGTGGAGACCAGGACTAACAAAGCTGTCCTTATATTTCAGGCGATGACTACTGGGTGATTGACACTGATTATGTTAACTATGCTGTTACATATGCCTGTCGTACACGGAAAGAGGATGGAACTTGTGATGATGGGTACTCCATTATCTTCTCACGCAACCCTCGTGGTTTCTCACCAGCCATTCAGCGTATTGTGCGTCAGAAACAGGAAGAGATCTGCATGTCTGGCCAGTTCAAGCCTGTGCTGCAGTCAGGTACTCTAAGGGCTTGTCTACTGTGGCAGAAGTGTTTCACAGGGGGACAAGGATCAGTATGCTCTGCATACCCAAACATACTGACATACTTAGACCTTGAAATTAATCTGTGAGGTTCCTCTAAGCTTGTCTACATGACTTATGCTTGAGCTCACGGACTCCAATGGGTCTGAAAGTGAAACTAGAGACATGACCAGAGCAGTGTTACTGGTGGACTTCAGGGTCTGACATGTGTAGCAGACTTGAGCTAGTGGATCAGGCTCAGGCTAACCCTTCCCGGGATTTCCTGCTATAGTTGTATAGACAAGCCCTAAGACAGTAACCAGACAGACCTATTTAGCCTGGTACCATATAGAGGTCAGATGCACTTTTCCAAATTAGGGACTATGTTGGCAGCTAGCTAAGAATAAGGGAGCTGCATTTATTGTAAATAAAATGAGAGCAACTGAATTAATACTCTTTTCTTTGCATTTTTAACTAAGAGTGCAACTGAAAAATAAAGTATATGACATTTAGCAAAGGTTAGGTGTCAGGTTGCCCCACAATCTTCACACTTCTCCTTGAATCAGTCCTATACACTGTTGCTGATGTCCTGTGGAAAGAGTATTCCATATAAAAATCAATACCTGGCAAGGGGCAGAATCTAGGTTGCATGAATAATGGTAAATCTGGAATGTCCTAACTTTCAACCAAAATCTTAGCAGTGTTAATACAGTTCTTTTAAAGCAACCTTAGTGTGCCATTACCCAACTATTTCAAGGACAAATGTATGTAATATATTCTACAAAGTAAATCATGAGCATGATCTGAATCCTGACTCTTCAGCACAGACTGCTACTATTTGAGCAGCTGCGCTACCTAGATTAACTGGCTGCCAAAGGCTATTACCCCAAAGAGGTAAAAGAAAAACACTGACTCGGCAAATTCACATGCCTGGAATAAAAAAAAAGAGTTACAGTTTTCTTTTTATAATTATTTTGCAGGGGCCTGCTAAAGACTACAGTTTGATTCTAAGAATGAAAGCCGGATCTCTTGGCCTTGAAGTTGCCATCTATCTGAAAAAAAACCCCCAGAATCATAGCTTGGACTAGTGTTTTTCCTGGAAAACACTGTTGAAATGTTTTGTTGTTGTTTGTTTGGTTTTCTGGGATTTTGGTTGTTTTTTATTTTAATTTTTTTTTTGTGGTAACTTCTGTGCAATACCACACTGGGTATCTGAATTTTCAAGGGAATAACTAGTGTAATATTTGTCAATATTTTAAAAACACGTGCATATTGCTATGTACAGCATGTCTAACTTAACCTAAGTTTATATCCTAATTCCTAAGTAATGAAACCTTGTGGAATGGTTAGATCTCTACTGTGATCCCACTACTTTATGCTGACTAACAGAAGGAAACAATTAGATTTTGGATCCAGGACCTGTTCAGGTCAAAACAACTTAAATGCAGAATAGGTACGTTTATTAGCTATGTATAAACTATTGTCAAGTATTATAAATACTTCATCTCCCTGACCAGTCTGGTCAAAGTGCAGTGGCCACTGGAATGACTGAATACCCACTAATTACTCATCTCACTCACAAGGAAGTATCAGGTGGAGTTGAATGAACTTTGGATTCTAGTCTCACTGGGCATTTCTATACATGCATTTATGCTGGCTTAAATTTACTGCATAGAAAATTACTGTGCAGTAAGTGGGAATAAGCAGACATCTACAAGTGCAGGCATTAAAGTGCATTAACACTGCGTGTGGACTGATTTGGGACTAAAATTAATCCCAAGCCATTTACCACACACAGCATCAATGAGCTTACTGTGCAGTAATATGTAGTGGGGGAAAGACAGGCTCGGGGGGAGTGGGGAAGGGGAATGAATGTAGTGGTAAATAGTTTACCAGCAACATTCAATCCCCTTCCCCTCAGCCTGTCTCTCCCCAACTGACTCCTTAATTTACATCTTCACTGACTGGCTTTCTTGCATGCATGCCAGCCTCTGGCTTCTTTTACTATTCCTTCCTTCCAGGAAGAGCACACACCAACTGTAGATGCTTCCTCAGCCTGAGAAAAGATATTTATAACTGGAAGCTTACAAAGAAGAATTTTCCCAACTTATGAGACCAACTCAAATAAAGATATCAGATTGACAAAAAGAACCTTGTATGCCTAATGTGCAGTAATGCGTCTACACGTGTATTACTGTGCAGTAACTAATTGGGCGTAAATTTGATACCTGCATGATGCAGATATCAAATTTACACTCAGGTCAGTGGAAGTCACCATATTTACTGTGCAGTACGGGTGTGCATCTATAGCTGCATTACTGTACTATGCAGTAAATGCACATGTGTACATACGCCCACTGATTAGACAAGGCAAATTCCTAATTACAGTAAGTCTAGCTTTTGGACAAGACATTCAGAAGAATGCCTCCAATTCTGGAGGACTGGGAATTTTAATGTCCTTTATTATTTTATTTACTTTCTGTAGCATCTAGAAGCCCCAGCAGGCAGGAGCTAGACCTTAACTTTGTTCTGCCCTGAGGCAAGTACTGCTCCTCCCCACCCCACCCCCCGCCCATGCCTTACTAGCATCTAGCACCACCGTGTTAGCGCATTAGGGCATTGCTTAAACTTAATGCCAACTGAGAGCCATGTTATATGGAACACTTAGTATCTGTTAAATTCACTTAAAATAGAGGCATCTGCATGTTCAAGCAGTAAAACACATGCTAAGTGTGTTCATATCATAGCAAACTTATGACTTTTGGGGTGAGAAGTACCTCCAGATCATATTAAGTAACACATATTCAGCTACCAGAAGTCTATCTAGTGGAGATAATATGAGCAATTTGCAGTCCTCCAGCATGTAGGGTGTACTGTTTCCAGCCACCTAACTCCCACTCCAAGGTCTGGTCTATCCACCCACCTGAACTTTACCACTCAAGTGGGCAGCACCAACCCCAAGGCAACACCCTAGGCTGGGGGTAAGTGACCCCCAGCCTACGTGGCATCACTCCAAGTATGCATGGAAACCCTCAAGGTTCTCCAAAGCTTGCTTGAGTGTCCACTGCAAACAGAGAACACCTAGCTTTGTGAACCAAACTGAATCAGAGACTCTCCTCCTTAGACTCCTGTAGGAGGGCCATGAACTGGACTTGTGACAAAGTGTTGGACCTCATCATCATCTGGGGTGAGAAGAGAACCATTGTCACAACCACCACCAAGGGCAGGAAGGACAGCCACCAAAACCAAATGGTGTATGAGTGCATCAAGGCCCAGATGATGGCATAGGGACACCAGTGGGACTGGCAGCAGATATGCACTAAAAGCAGCAGATATGCACCCATGTCATTTAAACCCATGTAGTATAGTGTATAGTAGCTGCTGTAGTGATTGTGAGAGCACTGGTTTCAGTATATCTACCTATCCGAGGCCCTGGAGTCTGGTGTCGATGGTCAGCTTCCTTCAAGGCGCTGTCTTCTCCAGAAGGGGGTCTCTGTCTGCTGGTATCTGAAGTTTTGGGAGTCCACCCTTGACTTATTGACTTAACAGCTGTATTATCATGGGTTACAGGAATATAGTCAATAGAATGGGTGCTTGGTTCTAGGAATCAGTTCCTTGGCTTGATTAACTTAAAATGGCTTGTAGAGTAGAGTTTTGTAATGGTAAGTTCCTCTGGCTACTCTATTGTCAATTAACAACCAGAGATACTTGGTTTGTCATTCATACTCACATTCATTCAAGGGACAGCCCAATATAGCAGATTTTATCACTTTACAATTTCAGTGCAGCTTTTAACAATGGTCCAGGGTGTAACTTCATTCTACAGGGAGTACATTCCTTAAGGGTTTAACAGTATAAAACATAAAATACAAAATGCCATGGTAAAGATGAGACAGATGAAATATATAAATGCACCGTGAGAAATATATCAAAATGCAATGTGAGATAGTGAGGATCAAAGGTTACTGGGGACAGTAAGTGAGGTAGGTTAGCACAGGGTATATTTACAGTCATTGAAGTAGATATTTTAGTTCTTTTGTTTTCTTTAGTGACACTGAGCTTAACTGATATGTAGATGTAGTTACTAGGTTTCTCCTACAGAAAGCCATTTCAGCTTACTGGCTTGCTCTTGAGCCTTGCCACACCCATGCAATGAGTGTGCTAGGTCTCTGACAATACTTAGAAGGAAAAAGAAATACACAAAATGGGGTGGAGGGAGGTGCAGGCAAGAAGGGGCTTCTGCTATATCAATGTCCAGAAGGGAAATATACAAAAGGGGCTTTCTGCTACATTATTCTCCGGCCCTTTGGGGTGATGTCACTATAACCTTTCAGTTACTGAGCACCATCATCCCGGCTTATAGAAAGGAGGCATGTCATCTTCAACTGCTTTAAAGTTAAAACAAAACTTAAGCTGTTAAAAGAAATTAAAAGAGAAAAACCTTGGTGGGGGGAAGAGAAAGAAAATAACAACAGAATAAGGTTGCTTTAAACAGTTACAGTGGTATAATTGTCTCTTCACTTATTAAAATAATGTTGAATTAAATATGACTTTGACATTTTATTATGGAACCTGTGTGCCTTTTTATGGATGGGATTTGTATTATGAAGGGTGATTCCTTTTCCATATGCTGGCCAATTCATTAGAAATAAATTTCTAGATGCAACAGGCAGACTTACCTTCATCTGCCATGATTACTCACATAATACTATACCACTGCAGAGCCAAATTTAACTTAGTTTTTAACCATTTTTTTTCTTCAGACACAGAGCCTTCAGGTTTAGGAAACATTAACTCTGCAGGTTCTTGTTTCCTTTAACACAATGGGTTAATGCAGTTTCTTACACACATCTTGTTATACTGATGTTCTAAATAGCACTTAAGTCCTTGAGGGAGAAAAAAATAAATTTTATCAGATGGTTTAGAGAAGAGAAAAAGAATAAACAAAATACACATTACCTTTAATAAATATTATTTTGCTAATCAAGTGGAATTTAAAACTTTCATATGAATTTCTGCTCTTGTTTCAAATATTAGAACAACTTTCCAGTCCAACTGGATGGAAGTGTTCTGATCTGGGATCCACAGACAGATTCAGTTTTTAGAGGGGGTATTACCAATGATTTTTTTATCATATCTTTATGATATTCATATATAGTTAAACTTTTGAAAACTTAAAACAAACCAAACAAACACAAAACATATAACAAGACAACACAAACAGACATTTTTTTTTTTATATAATTTTTGCCGTGGCTTAGATGCGGAAGGTAATGCTGATGGTAATGAGGCCTCGTGGTCTACTAGTCACGTTTGCTACTGGATTGAGATTACACTGTGGTTTCTGCAAAAGAAACAAAACACACACAAACCTGCCAAGGAAAACTCCTTGCAGTGGCTTGTTATTCATATTTACAAATGTATAATGCGGGCACAAAGCGAGACGATCCCGATGCGAGCAAAAAGAGGGAAAGGGGCCAGGAGGCTTCCTTGGCTGACCAGAGAAATCCAGGGCAGCCTAAGGGCCAAAAGGGGAGCACATAAAAAGTAGAAACAGGGAGAGATCACCAAAGATGAATATACCTCCTCTGCTCGTGCTTGTAGGGAGGCAGTTAGACGGGCCAAAGCTACCATGGAGCCGATGATGGCATCCCAAGTAAAGGACAACAAGAAATTGTTTTTTAGATATATAGGGAGTAAAAGGAAGGCCCAGGGAGGCAGTTAGATGGGCCAAAGCTACCATGGAGCCGATGATGGCATCCCAAGTAAAGGACAACAAGAAATTGTTTTTTAGATATATAGGGAGTAAAAGGAAGGCCCAGGGAGGAATAGGACCCCTGCTAAATGGGCAGAAACAATTGGTGACAGACAGGGGAGACAAGGCTGAACTCCTCAACGAGTTCTTTGCCTCAGTGTTCCTAAG